GCCAATTTCTCAGTTTTTTTTTAAGCTGCTGCATGGTCCAGAAATACTCAAAGTTTATTGCTCCACCATTTATTATGATGCTTCAGACACAAAGGAAAATATTCACTGCCTTTTAAAATTATTTTCTATTCCCATTCATGACATTTTAATGAGCTATGAATCTAGACCAGTAAATTTCTTTGGACCTTCATAGTTTTGAGCTTTTTACTATTTACAAAGTATCCTCATCTATGGTTTTTAGGTTCAAATCAGATAAGCCCACACTGACTACATGGAAATCCATTTGTTATATCTGTCCCTTCACTTATTGATCAAGGTTTTGCATTTTGTGCTTGCATCTAAACCATATATAATACTATCTATTTTGGCACCATCAGGAAACTTGACATGTGGCTTTCAATGCCATCATAGAAATTGTTAATGAATGTAGAGAATGAGTGAGGCCCTAAAGAGAAACTTGTAAGACACCTTTGTGACATCCTGCCAATTAGAACACCTGCTTATTTTTTTTTACTCTGTCTTCCACTGCTCAAACAATTTCCTAACCGGGTCTTTAACTCATAAACTTCATTTTAATTAACAGTTTACAAAAAGCTTTATCGATAGCTTTCTAGGAGTTCCCAAAAACGGGCAATCCCCTTTCTACAACCTTACTGATTATTTCAAAAAGATTCAACCAGTCTCGTCAGGGAAGATTTACCCATGACAAATCTAGTTGGCTCTTCCCTGCTGTTTCCTACTGCTCTACCAATGAAAAACTGGCATGCATACAAAAGTGACTTTCTTCAATTTCAAATCTATATGCATTTTGAAGAAATGTAGTTAGATGTTATATTTGTTCCAAAAGAATACTAAAATGATAGCACAAGGTAGTTACAGCAAAACTTGGACTGTCTAGTTCAAGATGCATGATGTAACAGGAAACAAACCATAAGTCTTTTTTTAATTTTTTAATAACGGTATTTCAAAAGATTGTTGAGTAATGATCATCTTGGATTTGCTGGAAGCAGCAATTTTCTGCTAAATGTTTATGAAGGAATAGACATTTTTCTATTAATTTTGCAATTGGTCAAATTGTGATTAAATTTTCTGCTGCTGGAAATAAATTTCTTCAATTTTCTTTTACAAAGAGGGAAAGATTTAAGTTAAAATATATATCAGCACATGAAGTGGATTGGTGCATTAAAAATATTCTCTGTAAAAACAAAAAGAGATTTTGTTTATGAAGCAAAACTGCATTGTTAAATACACATGAAGTATTTATTGCCTCTTTAGAAGCTTTTCCAAAAGTGCTTAATTAAATGTATGGGCTTGTATAGTTTCATGGATGTGGTTTGATATCTTGTCCAAGTGATGAAACTTCATCTACCAACCCAGATAAAGTATAAGTGAACTACTCAATTCAACAGTTATTATAAAATTTGATCCAACCTTCACTTGATGATTTTATATGCATTTACTAAAAAACATTAATGGATAGTAAAGATAAAGTCATCATACCCTTACCAGATCATAAGGCTTCTCTCTCATTAGAGAGGGGTGGCTGGTGGTGAGGGACAGGTTGAGAAGGAGAGTCCTTCATGGCAACCTCAGCCAGTGCAGGAATTGAACCCAAACTACTGGCATCAGTCAGCATCACAAACCAGAAGTCCGGCTAACCGAGCTAACCGAGTCCTTGTTGGATAAAACTTAGCTGATTTCTCTCATTTTTAGAATTAAGCCAATAGTGAGATTCACAAAATATCCTTTTGACATCAGGTAACTCAGCTCAAATTTGTTATCAAATTTAACATCAGGTTCAGTACCAAGCAGTGTAAATTCTCTCTGAGCCGTGAAGCTTTGGTTTGCAAAGTAGTCCATCAGTTTCGAAAATACATACATAAATAATTAATTATAAATGAGTGGATCTCACAATGGATTGGAAAAGCAAAATATTAGATGTTGGAAATCTGAAATCGACCTGAAGACATGTGAGAGCAGAATAAGAGTCATAATTAGACTTCAAACATTAACTACGTTTCTCTCTCCACAAGTGATAGAGCCTGTTTCCACTCAGGGATTCTTCGGCCCAACAAGTCCACACAGACCGTGGGAGCATCACACCCAGACCCATCCCCCTATAACCCACCTAATCTACACATCCCTGAACACTATGGGCAATTTAGAATCGCCAACCCACCTAGCCTGTACATCTTTGGACGGTGGGAGGAAACCGGAGCACCTGCAGACACGGGAGAATGTGCAAACTCCACACAGGCAGTTGCCTGAGGGTGGAATCGAACCCAGGTTCCTAGCACTGTGAGGCAGCAGTGCTAACCACTGAACCACCATGCCGCCCTATATGCTGTCAGACCTGCTGAGTTTCTCCAACATTTTCTGCTTGTTTTGAAAAACATGTGTTTGATTGTAAAATACTGAGATGTGGTGAGCACATATTAAAAAATATAGTAAGTGTGAGAATTGACATATCCTGTTGTCTTGTGCTATTGTTTCACAATGCTCATAGAGTCATACAGCAGGAAACAGACCCTTCAGTCCAACTAGTCCATGCAGACCATGTTCCCAAAGTAAACCTGTCCCACCTGCCTGAGCTTGCCCCACATCCTCCAAACCTTTCCTATTTACGTACTTATCTAAAGTGTCTTCTAAAGTGTCTTTTAAACATTGTAACTGTACCTGCATTCACCACTTCCTCTGGCAGTTAATTCCACCCACTAACCATTCTCCGTGTAAAGAAGTTGCCCCTCGGGTTCCTTTTAAATCTTTCTCCTCTCATTTTAAAAAATATGCCCCCTATTTTTGAACACTCCCACCTTCGGGAAAAGACCTTTGCTTTTCAGCTTATGATTTTATAAACCTTAATAAGGTAACCCCTCAACTTCCAATGATCCAGTAAAAAAAAGCCCCAGCCTATTTTTATAACTTAAGCCCTCCATTCCCTGGCAACAACCAGGTAATTCTTTTCTGAACCCTCTCCAGTTTAATGAAATGCTTCCTATAACAGCGCGATCAGAACTGAACACAGTACTCCAGAAGAGGCCTCACCAACATCCTATATAATGTCAAAATGATGTCCCAACTCTTTTACTCAAAAGTCTGGGCAATGGAGGCAAGCGTGCTAAATGCCTGCTTAACCAGCCCATCTACCTGCGATGCTAATTTCAAAGAATTATGTACCAGAACCCCCTAGGTCTCTCTGTTCCAGGGCCCTACCACAAATTGTATAATTGTTTGTTTTGCCAAAATACAATACCTCACATTTACCCAAATTGAACACCTTCTGCCACTCTTTAGCTAATGACCTAATTGATCAAAATCTCATTGTAATGTTAGATAACTTCTTCACTGTCCACCATATCACCAAGTCATCTGCAAACTTACTAACCATGCCTCCTAAATTCTCATACAAAGCATTTATATAAATGACAAAAGTGGATCCAGTACCGATCCCTGTGGAACACCGTTGGTCACAGGTCTCCAGTCTGAAAAACAATCCTTCACCAACACCCTCTGTCTCCTACTGTAAAGCCAATTTTGTACTGGCAAGCTCTCCCTGAATACCATGTGATCTAACTTTAGTCTACCATGAGAAGCCTTATCAAAGGCTTGACTAACGTCCAAGTAAATAATATCTACCACTGTGCCATCATCAGCCCTTTCGGTTACCTCCTCAAAACAACTCAAGTTTGCAAAACATGATTTTTCTCCCACAAAACCATGCTATCTCTAATCATTCCTTGCCTCTCCAAATGCATGTAAATCCTGTCTTTCATCTCAATTCACACTATGTTGTGCTTTGATAATTGATGCTTTATAATGTAGAACAGATATAGAATTACTCAATCTATCAAAAATTGATGTTGACTGTCTTGTTGACTTGATGTTATCCACTCTTGTTCTACTACTTTGAGAATTCAAAAGCATTTTAAATGTCATTCAGAGTTATCAAAACATAGATTTAAAGGTAGCTTTATTCACATTTTTAATTGACCTGTTTTTCTAATCAACCAGTTCAGACATACCTCTGCAGCAGGTGGGACTTGAACCTGGGCCTCCCAGTCCATGGGTAGGGACATTACCACAACATCACAGGTGGGACTAGTTTATTATGGTCAGCATGGATGGGCTGGACCGAACCGAATGGTCTGTTTCTGCACTGTATGACTCTATGACTAAGACAGCCCTCAGTTATATTTACATTTTCTCAATGTAACCCTAAATAACTAATGCTCATGAACAAAACTTTAGAAATGAATAATTGCATTGAAGGTATAACTTTCATTTTCAGAAAATGCTTTATATCGTATTCCAATATATTTTTTAAACTGTGTGCTGAAATCAAGAAAACAGAATGGAAGCAGTACAAATTTTGAAGACTGAATAGCTCCAAAGAGTTAACATATTAAATATTATCCACAAGAGTTTTTTTTTGGGATAGTATGAACACCAATGTAGAAACGCTGGAATTCTAAATATTTCCTTTTCCTATTATCTAAAAGAAAAATGCTCATAGAAGGTATGTTGTTCTCATATTCTGACAACTCACTTGAACAAAATGCAAGAAGCTGGAAGTCTAAAATAAAAACAAAATGTTAGAAATGTTCAGCAGGCAAGACAGCATCTGCGGGGAACACACAGATGAGTGAATGTTTTAGGTTGGACCTTTCATCAAAACATTCTAGCGAGAAAAAAAATCATAGATGCAGAAATTTGAAAGAGAAAACGCACGTACAGGATAGGCAGTGTTTTTGGACGAAGGATCCAGCAGCCAAATATTGTTGCATATTCTCTCAAAAGATGCTAGAATCTGAACTGTTGAGTGGTTGCCAGTTTTTCTGATTTTTAGTTCTTACGCCCGGCTCCATTCCCATTGAACAGACAAGGTACAGGAAAGCAACCACCCGCCGCGTCACACATTTTCAGTATAAGATGCTCAGCTCTGTCGGGCCCGCCTGTGCGTTACTACCCCAGCCCCTCCCCCCCAACACGCTGTCCCCTACCTGCTGGCGGTGGGTTCTCCTTCGAAACAACAACAGCAATATCGAGCAGCGGTTGGTGGGAATAGAAAGGATGGGAAGGAGGAAGGGGTAAGCCCTGTGCCTCCGTGAGAGGGCAGTATGAGGCTGACCCTGGCAACCAAAATGCGTGGGAGTTTCCCCAGCGGCCGCCATCTTGACGGACAGCCCAGCCAACCATCACGTGACCCAGCCCCTTGTCCATCCCCCAGGAGGAGGACGCTGCGTGCAGCCGCACTCCGCGTGACCGGCGCGGACGGGATCTCTCCGTCCACCGCAGTGCACGCGCACACATACACACACGCGGGGCTCGCGGCGGCGCCGCGCGTGCCCTCTCGCCCTCCCCCCTCCCTCCGTCACTGGCTGATTCTGAGTGGAGTAGCGCTGCCCCGGTGATGCTGTAGCAAACTGCAGCCTTGCCGCACGCTTCAGTAGGGAGCACGGAGACTTGCCTGGACCCATTGCATTCGGCTCATGAAGATGTCCAACAATGACATTAATATAGCTACCACGGAGAGGATGGTAAAATGTGAGTACCTGCTTTAAAAAAAATCAGAAAGGAATGCTATGCACATTTTGATAATTAAAATCTAACATATAAATCGGGCGCTGGAAAAATTACAAAACGGTTGAACGCCTATGTGATAATGGTGATATCGTTGAGTGGAGGAAGCTTTAGGAGCTTACAGACAGCGTTGGCTCCCTTTCGGTTTTAACATACTGAACATGCAGCAGTCGACACTGGTACTGTACTTTATTTAGAAACAAAAAGCATTTGCTGTTGTATGTTTTTCAATGGTAATTAAATTTAGCCGAGACTATTTTATCGTGATTGCATGTTCTAATATTGCACATTCTGTCTTTGCGCCGCTGTGTGAAGCCTCTAATTCTATTTGTTATGTTTGCCCCTGATTTTTTTTTAATATGACTGTCGCTTGTTTGATTTTATTGCAGTCAACCTTATACCTATTTCCGACTGTAATTATTTAGGATTTTGTACAAGCAGACTGGCGCTGTCCAAGTGTCAGCTGCTGATCTGCACGCACATCACTTGGTCAACGTGTGCAAAAATAAATTTGAGTTGCAATTCTCTTATGATTAATGACAATTGGTTTTCTTTATTTTATATAGTAAAGTCTTTCCGTTTGTTTTGATTTTCGCATTTAAAGCCACCGCCCGAGTGGAATATGCGTTTTATTGCAGTGGCTTCGCGGCAACGTCCATTTCAGTGAGTGGGTGATTCCCTCATTTAAAGGTCTCCCCTGGAATTTAGAACATCTACGCAATAGGCATCACTGCAGATTGTTATTTCGAAGTGGATTAAAATAAACAATAATCTGTTTATTGTGCAAATGTTGTAAGTGGTCGCCCTGGAACTAGATCACGATTGATGGCTATTAGTGGAATGAGTCAGTGGGATTACCTGTGTGGCAGTAGTGTATTCCACACCATGGTTATACACTGTCAAGTGGAGAGATGTTTATGGAAATACCGGGTACTTTGGAGTTAATTGGAATCTGATTATGAAAAAATCCCTGTACCGGAGGGTGGAAGACGTCAGAATGCGATAATTTTCACGTGTTGCGTGGAATATTGGCTGTTGGTTCATCCTCTGAATGCAACAGCACAATAACTGCCATTTAAAAAAAACTATGCAACTAGATTATTCTGGTATTAACTTGAATCTTACGTTATAATGGTTTGCTCGAATTTAGAATATTTTGATCAACAGCAATATTTTGAGTCAAATGATTTTGGACTCAGCTTGATTTCCGGATGCATTTGCTGTCTTACACCCATAGTGTTGAGAAAGTAAGAACATGTGAAAATATTATTTACTGACATTCAATGATAAGTACATTTTGTGTATAAACAAAGTGGTACTGAAAATTGTCAAGCAGCATGTAATATGTAAATTACATAAACGTTATTCAGTTTTTTTTTCAAAATGTTAATATTTACCCAAGCATTCCAAACTGTTTTCTCATGTAATTGTTGTGCAGTTTCACTGGCTAATATGTTGCTAATTCAGGAATGCAATTTATCAGTTCATTCACTGTAATATAGCGTTTGGATTTAAAAAAGTATATAAATAGAAATTTGAGTGGGAGATGGAATAAATTAAAGGCTGATTGAAGTGGAGAGGTGGTGGGATTGATTCATTCACACTCTACCTATTATTTAAGTCAAAGTACAGTTTAGTATTGAGATGTCCAAACAGAGAGCAAATAGAGGATGTCTCTAATGTGTTTACCAGATTAATTGTTGGAGCAACATGGACATTAGTGTAACTTTCATTGTAAGTAGACAGGTGACTCTATTGATGCAGAAACGATGTTTACCCTGCTCGCAGTCATAAGTAAGCTAAGGCACATACCAGCTTCATCAATTGACATTTGGTCTTCACCAAACATTGGAAAAGGACAACGTAAAATAGTTTCCACTCTTCTCTCCAAACAAAAACTTTATAAAAGACTGTAAGATCAATTACACTAATATATGCTTTTGTAACCATTATGTAAATAAAAATGAGCAAATTAAGCATCAAATTATATTGTAAAGTGCTAAAAAGCACTTAAACATGGTTTTGATTTGAAAATAAAATTATATGCCAGTAGTATCACAATTCATTTGAATGATAGTTTCCCCTATGTGTATCTATTACAGATATTTTACAATTATCTTGTTGTATCTTAAACTGGACATATCATACATTTACTTGTCAGAGTTCTATCTTGTGTTCTCCACTTCCTGTTAACTTTCTTTTGATGTATGTACGCAAAATAACAGTGCATACACCTTCCGTATATAAAATCAAAATTCAGAAGATTTCCTTTTTGCTCACAATATTCCTTCTATACTTCAAGATCTCTCCTTTTCAACTTGTTTCCAGATTTGATAAGAACTCAAGTATACAGCCAAGTGTTTTGCTGGTAACTCCCTTACATGATTGTGGTTGACGCCATACGCTGAGCTGAAACAAAAAAGTACCTTTCTGCCACCTATAAAACAAAAGTGCATAAATAAGTTAGAGCATAAATACAAAGAGACCAACAATGAATTTCAAATTTAATACAAATTTGTAATTTTTACTGTTTGTTTAGAGAAGTCAAATTCATGTACAAAAACAAAAATGTGTAACAACTTTGTATCTTTTTTCATACTACTTTTGTAAAATCAATGTTTCTTTTGTCGTAGTATCAAAATAACACTAAAAGTTACAAAATTGTATTTTGTTACTGTCAGTGACATCTTATAAATTAGATTATTTTCAGTTCCAAGTTATTTGCTGAAATTTGTTACAACTGTGACCAAGAAGAAATTAATTGTAAAGAATGATGATGAAATCTGCAGCATAGCAACAAGAACTTGCATTTTTATAGAGTGGAATTGTATTTTCCATTCCTACTAAGTGGAATGGTTCAGAATTGTATCAGGTCATAAAACGCTGGATGCAGAAAAAATTCTGTCAAAGTGAAGCTACTAATCACAGATTAGACACAACTAGAAGCAAAATATTGCAGTTAATGGATAACAGAAACAGAAAATTATGGAAAAGCTTTGGAGATAACTGACAAGATAACATTTAAGGTGAAGTTTATCCATCCAAACAGTTCATGATGAAGAGTCCTCAACATAAATGTTAACTTGTGCATTTTTGAGTGTTTCCAGCACTTAGTGTCAATTTTAGCTATGCTTTTCCAGCCCTAGATTAGCATGGATTAGAAAGACAAAAAAAAGAAACTTGCATTTATATAGTGCCTTTCATGACTTCAAAATGTCCTAAAGTACTTTCCAATACTTTTGTAGCATAGTCACATTTATATCATAGATAAAGCAGAAGCCAATTTGCCAGCCACAAGATCTCTCAAACAGCAATGTGTGAATTGTTGTGAGATAAGTATTGGCCAAATTTCCAGGGAAAACATCCTTACTCTTTGTTGAAATGGTTCCATGGAATATATTATGTCTCCTTGAGAAAACAAACAAAACCTTACTTTTAATGTCTGAAACATGGTACTTACAACAATGCTTACTTCCTCAGCATTACACCACAGTGCAAGCCTATGATTGTGCCTGAGTCATCTATGTCAACTTGGCTTGGTTGGGAGCTCACTCATTCCTAAATGATGAGATTCTGAGCTTAAAGTCCCATTCCAGGGCGTGAGCACAAAACTCAAAGTTAACACTGAAATTTAGAGCTGTGGGTAAATTGCACTGTTGGACTTTCTGTCTTTAGGATGAATCTTAATTCAAGGTTCTATCTGTCTTCTTGGATGGGTATAAAATATTCCAAGACCTTATTTCAAAATAAAGCGCAGGGTAGTTATCCCTGGTACCGTGGGCAATAATTTTTCCTCAACCAAATTACAAAGAACAGATTATCACATCGCTGTTGGTGGAAATCTGCTGAGTCTGCAAGAGTTGCTGTATTTCCTAAGTTACAATATTGGTTAATCTTCAGAAAGTACTTCCCTGGTTGCGAAGTGCTTCGAGTTATGTGGTAATTGTAAACACAGTTAATCAGTATGAGTCCCTTTTTTTGCAGCTTGAACACACGCGGATACAAGCGCACACGCACGCGCACACACACAAGCATGCGTGCGTGTGCCAAAACCAAATGATCACAATGGGGCTGCATATATCTTTAAGTAAAATCATGGCTTTAACCACCCAACTTAGGAATTAATAATGCACTGACAGTTTTAATTTTATAAATGAGCAGTCTGAGATTAAGGAAACCAAGTGAACAAAATTTCAAAACTGATCAATGTTGCTTTAAATAATTGGTTGCACTCCATCTGGAGATAGAGCCAACGTAGACTTTTTTCCCACCAATATTTATTGAAAAATACAGAATGAAGTTTGCCATCATGATTGGGATTTGAGTAAAGTGCTAACTTTGTGAATGAAATTCTCTCCAGCTTTGGACTGAAAAGTAAATAGTTTTTCCATGTGGCTTATGAGTAACACCTCTACAGTTTCTTCTCTCTCAGGTAGCTCTCATGATTTCAAAATGTCCTAAAGCACTTTCCAATACTTTTGTAGCATAGTCACATTTATATCGTAGGTAAGGCAGAAGCCAATTTGCCAGCCACGGATCTGCCGTTAAATCTTAGATACCTGTCTTGTTTATCTGTTAGATTGTATTGTCAAGTA